ACACTCTTAGGGTTTGTCAGTGCTTGTCACCGTTTCACATATACATAGTAATAATATTCTTAGTTAATATAACAGTGTTGATTATGGCAGCTTTAACTACTGCAGGTTTACATGTCTACTGACAATATATGGCCGTGAACGTTCCGTGTACAAACACCTGCCACTGATCCTGGGTAGTTGTAAATGGATAGATCATAATTTCATATCAGCAAAATGTTATCCTTGGATGTATAAAGAGAAAAATTATAAAGAAATTAGGTGAAGAAAGAATCATTTGATAACTGCGTCACATTATCGCACTATGTCAGTGAGAAGATCATTTATTATAACCTCTGAGGTCTTTGGGGTTTTGATAACATGTCATGGGTTGCTCGTGTCCCTCACAAAAGATGTTAACCCCCTGCTTTGAGTTGGATTTCTACTAATTCACTGAAGCAGAAAGAGGCCTGGATGGACTCCTCACTCACCTCAGCACTGAGCAGGGATCTACTCAGTAGTACCTGAGCAGCTGCTGTCAGGGCCCCACAGGAATTCATTAAGCTATCAGCACAGGGGGAAGTGTGTGAATTGGTCCATATGGAGCTGTTGGTAACAGCATGCTTAGCTTGCTGCTCATTAGTTTTACTGAAGGAGGTGAGGAAAGGACAACAAGGTAAAACAGCAGTGTGGTTTCAGTCAGTGCCGACTGGAAAGCAGAGCTAGAATACTGTTGACTGAGGCTGTTAGCAGTATGAGTATTTCAGAGAAAAAAAACCGTATTCGAACATGTAGCTCAATACTCATTTTTAACATATATGGACTTCAAAGTCTTGGTACTTTACAGTTGACAAAGACACTGATAATAATACATTATGTGTGTGATAAATTAAATTCCACCTAACAGTTTATTGGTGAAGCCACACTGAAAAGTCAATAATATGTCATTTCTGAGGACTTTTGTACCTGCATTTACAGATTTTTTTCTGAGTTGGACAGAGCAGAAACATGCTTGAATCAACATTGACATCATCATATTCCAAACTGCAAATTTCAGCATTTATTTTGAGCCATGTTTCTGGCTACACACTCAATAGTCACTTTGCTTTTAGCTCTGTTTTTGGTCTCCACCAGCAGGGAACAGCGTTAGACTGAATGAAAAAGATGGACCAAAACACTGAGCAAAATCTTGTGGTTTGTCACTTCACGTGATAAGTACTAAAATAGAAAGTTAAACAATTGCAGAATGCTAAGAGATTATTTTAAAACATACCTGATACCAAGAGACACCAAGCCTCTCCTCAGTACACTGGGTTAGTGAATTGTGTTTTTTAGATGAGAATAACATATAGCCACACTTCTATAGCCTGCTGATGTCTTTCAAATTACTTGTGTTGTTCATTCAGTGTCTAAATGCAAAGACATTCAACTTACAATTTCAGCGCTGAAGGTAGCTCTGTATCCTCACAGCGAGGTGGTTCTGGGTTTAAACCTGCTAGTCGGCCGGATCCGTTCTGTGTAGAGGTTGCATGTTCCCCCTGTGGGCGCGTGGGTTTTCTCTGGGTGCTCCAGCTTCCTCCCACAGACACCTCCCACAGCTGACTCTAAATTGGCTGTAGTTGTGGGTGTGAGTGTGCGTTATGGTCTGTTTCTTTGTATTAGCCCTGTGCTGGTCTGGCATCAGCTGGCTCTAACACTCACGAAACATTACCCACAGGAGAATAGACGGATGGAAGAAAAACAGCAAATCCACACATTTGAAAAGCTGGAACCAGAGAATGATTGGCATGTTTATCAAAATTGTTTTTGACCAATCGACAAATTCTTGCCGCTCAGAATCGCACAATAACATCCTCAAAATACATCTGAGCTAGTGACTTCTTCATGTCGTCCATTCTACTTTCAGCGATAGAGAAATGTTGCAGTGATACAGGTCGGCCTTGGCATTCGTCCCAGTGATCACAATTCATTACTGTCAATGTCGGGAACGTATGAGAGACGCCTCGGTTTAATCCCTCGCTTTCTGAGAGGTCGCAAACCACATCTTGCTGACTCAGACTCAGCAATGTAGGCCATCAGTAAAGCTGAGTCAGAGCACAGTTTGGATAGAGAATGATGACATGAATCATCTTACTTTAGAGGTGCATTAGCAGCCTGGAAGCACAAATAAAAACCGTGCAGTGAGGTGCAATTAAAGTAAACTCACTGTCAACGGAGCACTCTTATTTAACATGCCCGTCCGTCAGTTCTTTAGGTAAGAGAGAGAACTCTCCATCCCAGTGTGCTGAATCTCAACACTATTTCTGTCCTAATCTCAGTGGAGAAGTGTATTTTCAAATAATCTTGGCACGAGTCTCTGACCTTCATATTCAGTCAGCAGAGAGGACTTGCAGGAGGACATGCTGCAGGGAGGAGCCCTGTCTCTCCTGCCTTTATAATTGAACAGGTCCTGAGCAGACTGAGGCCATGCGATGGACTGTTTGATCATTCCAGACCCTGTTATAACCTTGCTTAAAATAGAACAGTGTGCTCTATTAATCGTGACAGCGGTAATCTAAATTGTGCAGCACCAGTTTGCCCTCTTCTGTGAGATTAACGTCTTTTTTCTTCTCAATCCGTCCTCTTCTATTTTTGCTCCACCAGTATTAATATTCAAACCGTCGTTTGTCATCCACTCCTCATTTCCCACCTCTCCCTCATTATGCTCTGCTTTAACTCGTTAAATTTAACTTTACTTTTTCCCCCTCTGTTTCTTGTTAACTTCTAGACCTCCACTTGGCAGCAGAACTGGGGAAGACTCTTCTGGAGAGGAACAAGGAGCTGGAGGACTCTCTGCAGCAGATGTACATCACTAATGAAGAGCAAGTGCAAGAGATAGAGGTGTGAACGATGGCAAAGATGTCAAAATCTAGTTTAATTATATTTATATCGTGCCAAATCCTAACATATGTTATCTCAAGGCACTTTATGTAGCAAGGTCAAGACTTTCCACAACCTGTCACGGGGCTTAAAGGAACAACACTTGGCAGGTTTCAGTAATATCAAATTTTAAAAAGGTTCTATGTGCCTATGTTATAGGACCAACACTTCTCACCCTACTCATGCATCCTTTAGAAAGCATTACACAGCACTTCCCTTTTAATAATAAGACACTGAATAAGGCACAGTGCTCTGGATCCATTTTTTGTGTAGATAAAACATTTTTTTGTGACACATTTGTCATTTTCTTAGAATAAGACAAATATTCAAATTCCTCTATGAATAAGACATTAGGATCTAAGGTGCTGTGTGAACACATGAGCAGGTCATGTGTTGCGTCAGATCTGCACACAACAATCTCATGTTAGTGATCACTTCTGTTCTCCGGCTTTCGATGATCTTTAACATATCCAATTTTATGAAAACTGGCAAACTCCAGCCACAGATAAAACTCATGTGATATCATTGAAAGCCCCAAAGCAGCTTCTAAGTAGACTTCAAGGTGAGATTATATCAACCGTTACAGAAAATTTCTAACTGAAGAGATTAAAGTTTAAAGCAGTAAGTTAGCAGATATCAAACAGAGCGATAAGCCCTGCATCTGTGTTATATGAGGTGTGTCAGAAAAGTTCCAGGACAGGCGTCACAAAAGATGTATTTCAAACCAAAACTACAAACTACGAGTTTTCCCCTTCAAAGTAATCTCCAGCACGTCTACTAGAGATCCTTCGCTTCGTTCAGTGTGCCAGAAGAGGTGAGAGTTGTGGCAGGACAAGTCGAGGCTGCTTCACCATGACAACACGCCTGCTCACAATGCCCTGAGCATCCGACAGTTCCTGGCTGAGAAGAACATCGCCGTGCTGGAGCAACCTCCCTACTCACCCCACCTGGCGCCGTGGGATTTTTTCTTCTTCCCCAAGCTCAAGGAGGTCATCAAGGGGACCCGTTTTAAAGATGTGGATGACATCAAAATGGCTGTGATGATGGAGCTGCGGAGGATCCTGGAAGAATCCTTCAGGAGTGCATGGCGGCGTGGCAGAGAAGGCTGGGAAAGTGTGTTAGAGGCGGATTACTTGGAAGAGCAGAACTTGTAGTTGGTAGTTTGGATATGAAATATATCTTTTGTGACACCAGTCCTGAAACTTTTCTGACACACCTATTAAATGGGAACGCAAAGGCAAATTCAGGTGACAGCCTGTGAGAGTTGTTTTTTTTAACCCTGCTGTTTCTCAAAGTGTGTATTCTGATCTGCTGTGTATAAATGTTCCTACTAACCTGTGCATGTACTTGCCCTGCAGTACCTGTCAAAGCAACTGGAGGTTCTTCGGGACATGAATGAGCAGCATGCCAAAGTGTACGAGCAGCTGGACGGGACCGCCCGAGAGCTGGAACGCACCAACCACACCCTGGTGACAGACAGCAAGACCTCACAGCAGAAGATCGAGAGGTGAGACGGACTGGGAATATTGTTTTCTCAGTTTCTTTATCCTCTTCCATTTCGTCATTAAGCTTTGGCCTTTCTTTTGTTCCAGGTTAACAGGGACTATTGAGACTTTGCAGAGCCAGGTGGAGACTCTGTCAGGGCAGGTAGAGCAGCTTCGCTCCATGGAGCAGCTGCGAGTCAGGAGGGAGAAGAGGGAGCGACGCAAGACCATCCACTCATTCCCTTGCCTGAGGGAGCTTTGCACCGCACCCAGGTACTTATGCATTCCAAAGTATGAATAAGTGGAGCTCAATTTGATAAATCGTCTTTATACCAATTAAAACCCTGCCTGTAAGAGACCTGCTAAAAATTTTTTTTTTATTTACTTATTCAGGTATGAGGATGAATTTGTAGTCGGCAGGGCTGAGAGCTTTACTGTGGAAGCCAAGCGTCAGCCGTTTGAAGAAGAGAACCAGCACCTGCGGGAGGCGGTGTCAGCCCTGCGAGCAGCTGTCCGGACTGAGAGGGGTCGGAGGGAAGGGGTGGAGAGGGAGTGCAACCTCCTGATTGCAGAGTTCTCCCGGCTGCAGACACGGGTGCAGGTGTGGTACACTATGAACTATTTTGGCTCACATACCAAGAAGCTGTAATGAGTACCTCGATAAAATAACCTGTAATAAACATTTTGAGAACACGTCCCGTAAAGAGAACTTTGATAATATGTTCAGCAATACGTGCTGTGACAACATGGACTGTTATAAGCGGCTTAATAGCAGGGTCTGTAATAAGTACTTTGATGGCATGATTTGGAAAGACCACTGTGATAACATGGACTATATAAGCATCTTGATAACAAAGCATGACAGTGTAGATATATAAAGGACCTTCATGTGAAAGAGTTCCAAAACATCATGTCAAAAAGTTTACCCAAAAAGTAAGTTCTAAAAACAAAGATAATACACAAAGTTAGAACCTTTCTGTATATAGAAACATGAATGAACTCCTGACCTAGCCTGGCTTTTATTTTCTCGCTAATAATATTAACTACAGTAAATCCAGAGTTGTGCTTTATGAAAAAATATGCAACCAGGAAAGATTCACAGAAAAAAAAATCTTAAATGACTATATTTTTTGCTAGCTTCAGAAAATAACAATGATGGGACGAACTTGTAACCATAAACTGTGTATAAAAGTTTGATGTAGCCTTTTGGTCTGAAAAGTGAAGCCAAAGCGAGTGCCTTAAATCTGCATTCTGTCTAACAGCCAGCAGGGGGCGACAAGAAAAGCTGTCTGACAGTATATAAGAAAATGACCCTCCTTCTCAATAGATTTTCTACCTCAGTGAACATTTTCCTTATGACTTTATGGTCCTAATCACTTGTGCTAAGTCTCCTATAACACAGTTTGATGTTTGTTTTGTAAATTATGGTCCAGTTTAGAGGAAAATAAATGACAAAGCAGAGTATGCATTAGAGCATGGCTACCTTGCAAATTGATAGATTGCTACCATAAGGGCATCATAAGTGTCCCCGGGTTCTCAGTTAGATCCATCCGTTGCTCATCAAGTCCACTTTCAAAAGACCAACATGGTAACTGCTAAACTTCCAAACTCGAGGCTTCAAAAATGTAGCCCACAAACCAATGGGTGACATCACAGTTTATGCTCGCTACTGATGAGTTAGGGTAGTTACTCCCTTTGTCAAAGATTGAAATATCTAACACAAACACAATGCCAAAATGAACGACAAAGCAGTCATTTATCAAGCAAAAATGTCAAATATTTTTAAAGTCTGGTTTTATGTTACAGTTTTGTAAATTAGTTGATTAATTTGTAATAAAAAAAATAATCATTTGTTGCAATGATTTCATGGAAGAAAATCAGACACAGGAGAATTCTGTTATACTGTAGATTGTTCTTGTCTCAATGCATTAAATGCTTTGTAGTTTTGGTTTTTAAAACAGTGATTGTTTTTATTCACAGGATGCTGAAAGCTGCCAGTCGAGGGTACGGGAGTTGGAGGTGGAGCTGCAGGAGCTGCAGCAGCTGCGTCGCGCTCGGACTTTCCTGCTGAGCAGCGAGGACGACGGTGTGGCTCTTACACAGACTGTCCTCAATATCACCCCAGAGACCGACACTTTCCTGGAGGTGGAGGTCGGGGAAACAGGAGGGGGTGTAAGGGAGGAGACTGAAGGGGGAGGAGGTGTCGGAGGTGAGACGTTACCTGAGTCCAGCCCTGTGAGGAAAAGCTGCAGCGACACGGCGCTTAACGCCATAGTGGCCCGGGACGCATCTGGCCGCAGGAGAGGCAGCTACGCTCTCCATGCCAACAGTGTGAGGAAGAGAGGGATGTCCATCCTCAGGGAGGTGGACGAGCAGTACCACGCCTTACTGGAGAAGTACGAGGAGTTGTTAGGGAAGTGTAGGCGCCACGAGGAGAGCCTGTGTCACGCCGGAGTCCAGACTTCCAGGCCCGTCTCCCGAGACCCATCAATGAAAGACTGTGCCATGGGCCCCACCCCAGCGCCTCCCCCGACTCCCACCCAGTCACCCTCCACCCCTGAAGCCATTGAGAGCATCAGCAAGCAGGTGGAGGCGGTGGATAAGCGACTGGGGCAAAACACTCCAGAGTACAAGGCTCTTTTTAAGGAGATCTTCTCTCGTATCCAGAAGACCAAGATGGACATCAAAGCTACCAAAGCTGCGAAAGCTAGCAAATCTGGGAAATCAGGCAAATCTAGTAAACACTAAATTTGCACCGATTGGCTCTAGAGAGGATGAATTGTTGCTTATTCAGTGTTTAGTGCTCAAGTTTGTGAACAAGGGGCCTGGTATGAACAGTCTTATAGAGGGTGCTACTTTGAAAAATGGTAAATTCAAGTCCAGTCAATGTCAACTGAGGTCACCAGACTGCACAATTTTCATCCAGAACTGAAACCTTCCAGAAAACAAAAACAACCTGATTTGCATGTGGCCAATTTTAAAAACAGAATTCAGACTAAAGTATATAAAACACTGAATAATTTGTTGAGGCCTAGCTAGATTTCACTCCCACCATATTCAGTGTTCCAACTAAACCTATACTGGCTTCACCGCCTTACTATCTCACACACCACACTTACATCAACACAGCAGTAGCAGTATGCCTATCGTGAGCATCACAAGTGCACTAAAAGCTTAAGCTCCACAAAAAAAACATGAGGAAAGTGCATCATTGGCAAGAACACGAGTGGAAACCTGATATTACCATAAACTGTATCCGTTGTGTTTATTATAAAGGACTATACTAACATTTGTGTAACTACAGTAAGACAAAGGTTGAAGGCTCACCTCTCAATCCGCAGTGCTGTCTGTTTCAAGAATAACCCGTAGGTGCTAATAATTCTCCCGTTACCTATATCACTAATGACGTTAACACTGCTGAAAATCTAAGTAAGCCTTTTTTCATGGCCACTGTCTTCTGTGTGTGACCTGACTTCTGCTTATTTAAAGATTGTTTGTCCTCGCCTTTGGTCTAGATCATAGACTTGTATATAAAAAATGGACGTGGCCACTCTCACATCTCCCATTTTAAAGCCTTAAGGTTTGAAATTTCTGCATCATCTATTTTATGGGATAATAGTTTACAAAATCAGCATCTTGCTGCATTAAAAGGGAATTAATAATGGAGGTAACAAGTTAATTAAAAAATAAAAAATACAAATAGGGTCTTTGTCTTATAGATTTCTACACAATCATTTTTTTTAAACCAGAGGAGTCACACCTGCTGGCTGTTAGAAAAGAATGCAGTTGTAAAATTATCCATGTTGATCTCAGCTCCGTCCATCTTTTATATACAGGTCTGGACATTTCAAGGAATACTTAAATATTAATGGAAATACAAACTTGATTTTTAAAAAAACACCATACCACTGTCAAGTTTGTACAGTGAATATGACGCTATGACAATTGGCATCCAGCTGGTTAGCCTAGCTGAACATAAAAACTAGCTGGAAGTTGTGATTTTACAGAGGTTATTTCTTGGCCAGGGGCAGAAACCATGACTTTTCGTGAACAAATAGCAAACTTAGGAGGAAATGGATTTTGTTAGCTAGCCGTTTTCCACCCGCACCTCGTCTTTGTGCTAAGCTAACTAGCTTCAGGTCATAGCTTCATATTTATCACACATACACAGTCGTGACATCACTCTTTTCATCTAACTCATCAAAAAAAAAAAACATTTCACAAAGTATTAAACTATACCGTTAATTACTTTTTTCCCCTTTTTTTTAATCCAAAATGCTCAGATGATTTTGGGGATCAAGTGAAAATAGTTTGCTAACTATAAAATGTCAGGAACTTGAGTCAAACTAGAAGCTTACATATAACTACTTTACATACCATCACCCTCAACTGCATTCGTTTAATTTCAACTCCCATAGTTAGTATTGGTAGTGAAATGTCTTTCATTTGGGCCGAAAATGAAATTGCCCAACAAGGTACAAGAAGCATTTGTACTTATTTTTAAGTAGCGAGTGACATACAGCATAGAATCTGAGCTTCTTGTAGTTTTAGATAGTGAAAGCTGTTGAGTTTTGAATATACAGGTGTGACGATCCCAGTAAATGCTGAATAGCTGCTGTCTTAGAAAGAGGGTGCAAAGGACAATCTCTGCAGATAGTTGTTTTCATGATTTCTGGGCATTATGAACACTCATACAGAAGACAGTATATATACAGTGTGAGCATATCTGGTTGTTGGGAAGGCAGTTTTGTTTCGATCAAACAATGAGAAAGATAAAAGACACAGATTTTCAGTGCAGTTACTGGGATAGCAGAAAAGGCCACCGGATGGAGACGTCAGCAAGGAAGTTTATGAAAAACCCACGTGGAACCTTTATAAACACAATAACTGTGGAGCTTTTTTATACAAGTGTTAAGAATGTTTTTCTTTAATTATAGCTAGACAGAAACACCGTATACTTGACCTGTAACCAGTATAAGGCTTCAAACCAGGGCTTTGTCTAACACCTAGCAGTCTTACCAAACTATAAAACTAACCTGCAACTTATTGCACCTTTTTCACAATATACAATACCTATGCCTTTTTCTGGGTAGCCTCCTGTACCTTTGTTATAATGAATGTTATTGCAGCTAATGTTTTATATCCAACTCTTCAGTAATGTTGAAGACATAACCGAGCTTGAAACCTTTCACGCGTGGCACAGCTGACACCCGAGGGACCCTACGCTTGTGTTTGAGGCTGAAGTATGTAAACTGTGGAGGAGGGATGTTTGTCTGGAACCCAGAACTGAACTCATGGAGGAGTCGTGTTACCTCCTCATGATATGAAAGGTTCATTGCAGCGGTGTAATTAAACTTGACAACTGTGGTGTATAAAGAGCTTTTGAGGTCAACACTCGTGTCTTTAAGAATGATTCAAGTGTAAGGAATGGGGGAATGTGTGTTAGCATAGACAAAACAATGCCAAACCAGAGCCTGTTATTATTTTATAAAGGCTCGTAGGGTTTCTGTACTGTAATGTCTTACCTATTGCACTTGAAAATGTCCTACGCCTCATCTTTTGCGTTTAGAATAGCTAATATGAAATTGTACCTCTGTATTTATTTGTGTGTGAATGTTTCTCTCTTTTTTTGACTTTTCAGTGCCTATATGTGAATGTCAATAACATATTGTCAATAAACCTATTTAATTTGCTTTACTTTGGTTATCCAGTTTAAACATGTGCATTATTCGTTCAGAAGCAATTGGCATTAAAGTTTTGTTTGGACTGCCATTAGTTCATGTCATTACTTAACTAAGATCTACTTTACTCTGTTAATAAAGCGTTCATATAATGCAACCAGTGTTGTTGTATTTACTGTATGTAGCGTCACACTGAGTGGAATTGGAAGAAAAGTAGAGCGTTGTGCCAGTGGTGGTGGCAAATTAATTTACAGCACAATTTAAGCACGTAGTGGACATAGGAAGGAGGGTGCCAAATGAGAATATTTTAATTCACAGTGATGTCACTGGAATAGAATAAACGCATCCTAATAGAATTAATTAACCACAACAATAACACAGAAGCCAAAGAAACAACCAATATATATGGATAAATATCTGGACTCAACGTTGGAGCAAGATCTTTGTTCAGTTAACTGCATAAACCTCATGAAACGTTGTTTATTCCTTTTGTGCTGAAAGAGAAAACTTCAAGAATGAATCTTGGGTTAACTTTGCAGCTGCTTTCTTGAACTTGGCACAGGGAACGATGTCAATCTGTAGGACTGTGGTTAAGCTAGGTTAGCACACAGTTAGCTAGCTTAGCTTGCTACATAGTGTGTACGACGACTATGTAGAGGTCCAGACTAAGTTATTATTTTTGTCATTTATCAGTATACAAAAGATATTTTGCAAAGATATTGTAAATATTTGCCCATCGCAAAAACAGAAGCAGACATTTTTATACATATTGATAATATTTCTACAGAAGGCTTCCTTTTCTTTGTCAATCCGACCGCGTGGCCTAATGGATAAGGCGTCTGACTTCGGATCAGAAGATTGAGGGTTCGAGTCCCTTCGTGGTCGCATTTTGCACCCAAAGAAGGTGGTCAGGGCGCTTTACGTCTCTGGTTGTCGGTGAAGATTTTCAGCCAGAAAGTAATTTTGTGAGCTCCAGTAAAAGAACTACAGGAACCGACGAGAAAAGCGCTGTTTCTATTGTTGAAGTTTATCGGGCAATTCTCTTTGGGTTTACCACATACCAGTGTTTGCATGTCACACATAGACTGTATAAGACAGATTTCGTTCCTTTACGGTCTATGGTCACATATCCGGTATTGTAACGTAAGTTACGAAGCTTGATGCTAAGTGGCAATGCACCTAAATCAACGTAAGGTTGTTACACGCTCACAACCGTAGTACGGATATCTCTGTTACTACAAATAGACACATGATCCTCCTCCTGGACAGACAGCAGAGTGGCGCAGCGGAAGCGTGCTGGGCCCATAACCCAGAGGTCGATGGATCGAAACCATCCTCTGCTATGTTTTCTTGACTTCTAGAATTTTTGTTATAACTGCTTATAGAACTTCAGAACACATTAAATCGAATTTAGTTCAACAAAGCAATAGGCACTGCTGACAGAACTGCTATTGTAATTGATTGTAACTGTCATTGCTTTTTACTTTTGATTGCTCATTTTAATTTTTTTTATTTTTTTATTATTTTATTTACCTAGTTGATTTTATTGTCAATGCATACATATTTGCTTTATAGCACTGTTAATCGATATAACCCTGCATTCTTTTTTATTGTGATATAATATTAATTGTGTCTAAATCTAATGTGTGCACCACTGAAAATGTGTTTTCCAAGGTAAAATGAAATGAATGAAAGAATGCAAGAGTCATGTTTTGTATAAAAAGAAATTCTGCTTACTTATATTTTAATGGCATTTGAACACAAAAAATTAACACTGGACATATAAATTCTATATTATTGACAGGACAGACCATGGAAGGTGGAAGCCTAACAGTCAGTCAAAATCCACTCGTCTGCTGTGCTTGGTAGCTGAATGGATCTTTTTCTGTTTAAGTCGCTCCTTGTTCCTCTTCTCTAACCTACACAAGACATTGCACATCAAAGTTATACACAGGACATATTTATTATCCAGGCATTATCGAGACACAATGTGTTTGAGTAATACCTGGCTGCTCTCAGAGCTATGTCCTCAGCTGTTGGCTCGTGGGGCTTCTTACTGGCCTCAGCTATGATGGCGGAGATCTTCTGTACACAGTCAGACAGGTTTCTCTGCTGACTCCTGCTCAGCTCAGAGGTCACCAGCAGCTCCCCGGCTTTATTGATGCGATTTTTATTCTATGCAGTTTCAAAATAAAAGGGGGGAAAAATGAGCACAAGTAAGCAAACCTTACTTATAAACTACAATATTCTCCAGTAATTGTGATTGTATGAACACAACTTGAGCGTTCTGGACTTCCTGATGTCACAGTATTTGAGAACAAACCTTTTCGAAGATTTTTTGCCGAACATCTTCTGGGATCCAGTCTGCCGTGTGCAAGTGAAATCTGACTTCTGCTTTGGTGTTGACTGTGGATTGAGAAAAACTAAGATTCAAGGCAAGATGCAAATGAATTTTTCTTATTTTTACACAACCTATCAATAACTTTTGCGCTTTCTCACAGTGTGTTTTATATTCCTTTGGATCCATATGGACGGTTGGAACAGATTTATCTACAACAGCAGCTAAAGGTCTGAACAATAACAATATATTCAACCTCATACTGTCAAAGATCATCCTTTTAAAATGAAAGTGGTAGTGTGTTATAACTGGAGTGGATCAACACATAAACTGTTCATAAAGTTTAGAAGGAATGTAAAGCAAATTGCAAGGGAAGGCAAACTAAAAAACCCCCCAAAAAACAGTCACTTTGAGAAGTATTTATGTACCAGAGAAGATTTCTTTCATACAAAATGAAACTGTAATAACCTTTATTGACATGCTGACCACCAGGACCACCGCTCCGGCTGTAAGACACCGTCAGACGCTCTGCCACCCAAGACAAAGTAGATGTACAATCATGAATTTTAAAAGTGATTCTGATTCATCTTTATAATGTATGCATGTGTGTATGTGTGCATATTTACCTACTGGAATGTGCACTTGGGTGTCCTGAAAAAGACAGAATATACCATCAAAGCCATAGATTACATGTACTGTTAAAAATAAGACAGACTATAACAGATGAATAGTTTTCTTTATCCTTTAATATACTGATTTGTTCTCATCTTTTCTCCATGCACAAGACAATGCCACAATAGTGACTTCAATAGTTTGGTGAGCAGGTTGTGCATCCTGGGGTCATGTGCTGTCATTTCAGCCCTGGTGTTGTTGACCTCCTGTGTCTCACTGATCATTAAATCATTCATTTAATGACGTTACTTAGATGTATCTTTAGCAACATACGTATAATCAGCCCAGCTTTTAAGGTAGTTTGAGGCGACAAAAGAAAGCATGGTTGCATCTGTTCGCTCATTCCACTAACCTGTGTGTCGTCTGTCCCTCGAGTCCCGTAGCTAACACTGGACTGTAAAGAAGTGCTGTTATCGTATCCTAGTACAAAACTCCTTAACGTGGCATGCTGTGGAATCACGTTTAAGCCGGCTCTACGACAAAGTAAATAAGATCGTAGCGCCATGGACGCCGCCATGTTGGACTGACGTCGGCAACGTGATGTAGCAACGGAACGCTTGTGGTTCTTTTGTGGTGACGTTATCGTGGACTTGTAGAAACCTCCGATACGCAAATCCTAATACAACTCCACGCTTTGTTTATTGCAATTAAAGCTGGAAGAAAATAAATTTAGGTTCCACCGAGATTTGAACTCGGATCGCTGGATTCAGAGTCCAGAGTGCTAACCATTACACCATGGAACCATACAATCATAGTTGTAGAATCTGCTTACATCAATGTACAAATGTGATTTAGACCAAACTATCTTAGGTGAACAGTAATAATAAAACATTTGCTTTGCAGACTATGCCAGTGTCTTCCAGTTAAGTCAGCCTTGTGCAGTGTCTCCTGAACTGCTCGAATTAATCAGGATGGTCACAGTGTTGATCCTTAGATTCTTCTTGGCGTCTCACACGACCATTCTTGCCAACACAGGGGCCACTCTTAGCTTCCTGTCACCACCTTTGAAATTGTTCAAAGTTTGAAACTCTTTGTATTTTTTGGATGATTGATGATGCTTTGCACTGTGGCTACTGGTACTTGAAAACACTTGGATTTGCCTTTATAGCTTTTCACAAAAAAAAGGCAACAATTTCAAGGGACATAATTAATTTTGTTCACGGCAGTTTCAGGAAAAAAGTATTTCAAAAAACATAAAGCTATACATTACGACTTCTATCTTCTATCACCTGATTGTCTTTACAGCAAGAAGAAACCTGTTGGTCAGATTATATTCGCTACAAATCAAAATTTCATGAATAAATTTGGGTGTAGTTGTATAATTTGAATAAAACTGTCCACACAAGTTAAAATGAAGCATCTTTGTCACTCCTCTCAGAGAAATAATGTCATTTGTCACTAAGAGAAATGATTTAAGGAGACACAAGTGGCAAAAACATGTTCTGTCGCAAGCCAGTTTTGAGATTTATGCAAATAAGCAGATATTTAATGCCACACCTTATTTCTATTTTTAAACAAACTTTTAGAGAACTTGATATCAACAGTTATAGCTTCATCGTGTGGTTTAAGAATTTCACCCCAGTAATTTCCAATTTTTTTTAGATGTATGGAATTTAATATGACATATCTTTAAAATTACAAACATTTTCCCTCCTCCTACCTAAACTTCATTTTTATTTCTGCCTATATTCTGAAAGTTTGAACAAAAGTGTTTGTTCTCTTAGCTGTAGCCTGGTTGGTCAAACATTTTTATGAAACATTTCTAAAAACATGCATAGTAACATATACTTCCTGACATTTTCCTATCTCTGCACTAATATAGATGCCCAAAAGCATCATCTACACTGTATTAATGTAAATTAAATGAAAAAAAAATTAAATGTAGAAACTGAACTTTTGTAAGCTGTGAAAAGGATATGCTGATATTTGATGGCTCAACATGTTCAATCCATAGACTGTGGTTCAATCCAAACATTCGTTGAACATTACTGCCCCCAAGTGACTAAAATAAAGTAAAGCTTCATCTTCATCATGAGTACTTCAGATCTTTAAAGTGACTTTAAATTAATACACGATTATGCAGAGGTTATGTTAAACATTTAACAGTGTATATGAGTAAAATGAGAATTTTACTGTCGACCAAGACAGCATGTTAATTACAGAATAAGGAAACTGAATAATAATCTGTACTGCCATTACTGACAGTGCAACAGTACATTAGTCATGTGTAATTAACGACAGCAAACAATAGTGCAGCCAATGAAAACTTTTATTTGAATGTTTTTGCACAGGTCAAGTGAAGGGAATGCATGTCAGTCTAATATTCCTCTCCCTCATCTTCATCATCATCTTGCATGCTATCAGCTCCCACCTCCTCATAATCCTTCTCCAGAGCTGCCATGTCCTCTCTGGCCTCAGAGAACTCTCCCTCCTCCATACCCTCACCGACATACCAGTGAACAAAGGCACGCTTAGCGTACATCAGATCAAACTTGTGGTCGAGCCGAGCCCAGGCCTCTGCAATAGCAGTGGTGTTGCTCAGCATGCACACAGCCCTCTGGACCTTGGCCAGGTCTCCACCAGGAACTACGGTGGGCGGCTGGTAGTTAATGCCAACCTTGAAACCAGTGGGACACCAGTCCACAAACTGGATGGAGCGCTTGGTTTTGATGGTGGCAATGGCAGCATTGACATCTTTGGGCACCACATCGCCACGGAACAGAAGGCAGCAGGCCATGTACTTGCCATGGCGAGGGTCACATTTCACCATCTGATTGGCCGGCTCAAAGCAGGCGTTTGTGATCTCAGATACGGTTAACTGCTCGTGGTAAGCCTTCTCAGCGGAGATGACAGGAGCATATGTGGCCAGAGGGAAGTGGATACGGGGATATGGCACCAAATTGGTCTGGAACTCTGTCAGATCAACATTGAGGGCTCCATCAAAACGAAGAGAGGCAGTGATGGAGGACACAATCTGACTGATCAGCCTGTTCAGGTTGGTGTAAGTGGGACGCTCGATATCGAGGTTCCTACGGCAAATATCATAAATGGCCTCATTGTCCACCATGAAAGCACAGTCTGAGTGCTCCAGGGTGGTGTGGGTGGTCAGGATGGAGTTGTAGGGTTCCACCACAGCAGTGGACACCTGGGGAGCTGGGTAGATGGAGAACTCCAGCTTGGACTTCTTGCCGTAGTCGACAGAGAGACGCTCCATCAGCAGGGAGGTGAAACCTGAGCCGGTGCCTCCACCAAAGCTGTGGAACACCAGGAAGCCCTGAAGACCAGTGCACTGGTCAGCCTGAAGACAGAGGGAGAGACAGCAACCAAATGAGATACATTTATTTTACTACTTTGAAGATAAACTTGACAATAACTGCTCTAAATTATTCACCAGTTTGCGGATCCGGTCTAGAACCAGATCAATGATCTCTTTGCCGATGGTGTAGTGTCCACGTGCGTAATTGTTGGCTGCATCCTCCTTGCCAGTGATGAGCTGCTCAGGGTGGAAGAGCTGGCGGTAGGTCCCACTGCGTACCTCATCTAATGAGATGAAACACAGTAGCTGTGGTTTACAGATATTTTACCTTTATTTGCCTGAAATAATGTTCGGCTTGAAAACAACAACAACAACAACAACAACAACAAAACAGCACTAACCAATGACTGAAGGCTCCAGGTCTACAAACACAGCTCTGGGGACGTGTTTTCCAGCTCCAGTCTCACTGAAGAAGGTGTTGAAAGAATCATCTCCTCCTCCGATCGTCTTGTCACTGGGCATCTGACCGTCCGGCTGGATCCCATGTTCCAGGCAGTACAGCTCCCAGCAGGCATTGCCGATCTGGACACCAGCCTGGCCAACGTGGACGGAGATACACTCACGCTGTGGAAAGAAACAAACAAAAAAAAAGTTCCTTAGCAGTGTGAATTTATTTTATTATTATTTCAATTAGAATTACAATTCTTAAAGTAGGCTTAGTTGGCTGAAAAGCTGTCGCTGAATGTGCTCAAGCTATTTTTAAGCCGGTGACTTGCTAAAAGCCGCTCATCACATGTTGAGGACTGCTCTTGACTTAAAGCTGCAAGGAGGAAGGAAAAAGGTCCTTTTGTCTGGAGGCAGATACCAGAGCATCATGACTGGCATCACCTGATAGATAATGCACGGACATGTCAGCCTCTGGACTGTAAACCCATGACAAACATGAATATCAGAGGCCGATGATTCAGGGCTTCTGGCAAAAAAGGAGCCCTTGTTTCTTTGAGAATAAATATATCCACATCAAAGTTAAGCAGATGAATAAACCAAACACAAAAGACTTCATAAAAAAAAAAAAAAACATAATAGGACAACACAACCTGAAAGATGAAGCATGAAGAGCTTTGAGTGATGAATAGGTTTTGTTAAAGATGTCTGTGGCTCCAAGTGCACAAAGACCAGGCCGCTTCAAAGACACCCTGGACCACAGGACTGCTTCAGGCTGGCACTGACCTTCCACACGACAGCCACAACTTGAATTTGACTTGAACCCAGTCTTGAACTACTTGAACAGCAGTCAAAACTGAAGCTTAAGTATGATTTAAGGTCTAAGGTGCTAACTTTAAAGCTAAAATGCCGCATCTTGATTTCAATTAACCGGCTGCCACGTGATGAATCACTTCAAAACACTACACGAGAAACCCAGAAAAGCTCGTCGTACTCACCATGTTTGCTGAAAACGAGAAGTCTGAGAGTTGGGACAACAAAGAGGAAGATTGAGAGTTTAGCCTCTACAGTTGGACGTTAAAGAGTCCTGTGTTAGAGGGAACTGGAGCGTCCCAGTTGGGCGAGGCTATTTGTACTCACTCCATGAAAGCGGCCGCTGAATCTGATTGGTTGGACGTCACATGCGCTCAATTCCTATTGGTTGAACTCAACCCGCTTTGTTCTTCGTTGACACAGAAAGTGAGGTAATCCTATTGACAGCAGTCTGTTGCAATGGGGATGTTATTGTGCTCTTAAAAATGATTTTTTACATTATTTACTCTTGTTTCTTTATTGTCTGTGTCCGTCTATTAAATAGAGCCACTTTAAACTGGCTGTTTTTTGAGTGAAATTGAAGCCGGTTGCTTTTTTAACCCCTCCAAAAAAGAAAAAAGTAATAGATGTAGTGGCGGCAGATGGCAGAGGAGCACAGTGAAAGCTGATTTGAAAATGACAAAGCATTTTTGTGGTATTTTAAAGAAAAAGATGGAACAACGCAACCGTTCCAATTCGTTTTCTAACAAATGCTTTTTCGCACTTTTAATAAGAGTATTTGAAGAGATAATTTGCAAAAACAGATAACTCAATTTTTGTAGATTTTCAAAACACTTTTTGTTGTTTGCTTGAGATAATATCAATCAAACAAAAGTTAAGCGGATTTGACTCAGTAGAAATGACATGACAGAAATAGAGATGACTTAAGTTTGATTGATTTTGTCTCAGATAGACGATGAAAAAGTGGGTTTTCTGAAGGTTTGGGAAGATGGAGTTATCTGTTTTTCCAATGAAACCTTCATTTATTTTGTTGGTATTTTATTATTTATATCACCTCTTAATGTTTTTTTTCTTTTCTTTTCTTTGACTGTGACCATGTTAGCTGCTACAAAGATGATCCATCCATCCATTATCTATACACCGCTTAATCCTCACTGGGGTCGCGGGGCGGGGGGGCTGGAGCCTATACAAAGATGATGCCAAATGAAATTTTGTTGTATTTTTTTGTATAATGACAATAACGCTTCTTCTTCTTCTTCTTCCAGCAAAGAGCAGATGAAAAAAAAAAGGGTTAGGGTTCGGGTCTCAGAAGAAAGGAAGAACATCCCTGCAGAAATTTGTACAACACCAGTATCCTCCATGCCTCTATTAACAACTTTCATTCAAATACATCACATCTACGCATACATACAGAGGTGGACAAATATTCAATATGCAAAGACCAGTGAACAAAGAGTAAGTACAGAAAGTTGTGTCAAAAAGTAGCTACAATGTATATGGTGCAAAAAAATCAAAATGTACAGAAACAGCAGCAGACGGCATTAAGTCCTGTAGTTGGTGATCTGGGGAGGGGGAGCTAAAAATGTGTTAATCCGTCTTGTTGTCTGGGGATAGAAACTGGACTTTACAGTTCAGACTCCTGCAGCATCTGTCAGAGGTCATGAGTGTGAAGTGTTGCTGTGGGTCCCTGATCATGTTGTAGGCCCTTCAGAGCATTCTTTTCTGACACTCTTTTGTACCCATGTGCTGGGATGACTTGGTCTGCAGGTGCTTACGGTCCACTTGTGTGCAGCTGCCTTATCATACTGTGATGCTGCTGGTGAGAAGGGTTTCAATCGTGCACTGCTGGAAGCTGCAGAGGAGTGATGGAGTAGCTCTAAATTTCTGAGCCCTCTCGGGGAATGCAGAGTCAGCTTTGTAATGGAGGTGGGCATATGGAGTACTGAAAAAATCTGTCAGGATCCTCACTTCAGCCCATGCCTGTCTCCCTCTCTTTCTCTTTCCTGTCACTCTGGTCCTCTGTACCTGATTACAGGCATTGGAGATGACTGTGGCAGTCAGCACACCCGTCTACAATCACCTCAGCTCACACCATCAGACCATAAACTCTGAAGGAGGCTGCTGGTCCCCAAGCTGCCTCCTGCCTGCTTTCCCTGAGCTACCACCACCTGAACATCCCCTGCAACTTCGACACATTTGCTCCTGCCAACCAATCTGGACCTGTCACCAGCCCTCACCAGACCCCGGATTCTCCCCTTCAGTTTAACCTGTTTTATTTGGATTATCCCCGTTTTTGTTGATTTAGCTTAGTTATTAGTTTTTTAGTTTAGTTATTTCGTCCTAGGATTTCTTAGGTTTTCCTTCAGTCCATATTCAGTTTTCCTTGGTTTTTGTAGCTTCGTTCTCTTTTTGAATTCAGTCTGGTTTACCCTGTTTTGTTTTCCTCCCTCAGTTTAGTTTCCACACTTCAGTTTGGGTTTCTGTTTAATTCTTTGTCTAATAAATCCTTTTAAACACTTAACCTGCCTGATCTGTGTCTGCACCTGGGTTGACCGACCAGTCGTGACAATCTAATACTTGAATCTCAGTAATAAAAGGTGTACTGACTTTTGTTGCCATGAGTTCTTACTTGAGGGTGTGTGTTTTTAGTAAAGTTTTTTTTTTTAAAAGAACAAATAACTGCCTAGAAGTAATGCAATTATTAAGATGTAATACAATTTTGAAATATTAGACATTTAAGTGACATTACCCTTACATCTGTTGTATACAGGAACAGCAGTCAAACTGGTACAGAAACAATCTGTCTCTGATGTTATGACAAAGGAGATTATTGACAATAATTCAGAAGGTCCCACCCTGACCACTTTCCACTGAACATCAATGGCTCTACAGTGGGAAGAATAGACTACAGATTTTTTGGTGTACACATCAAAGAGGACCTTTCCTGAAATACCAACAGGTGGTCAAGAGATCCCAGCAGCGACTACACTTCCTACAAAAGCTACAGAAGGACAAACCTACCCCCACTGATCCTCACCACTTTTTTTTTTTTTTTTAACAAAGGAACCATTGAGAGAGATCTTACCAGCTGCATTAGAGTCTGACAGGGACCTGCTATGCCTCAAAGCTCTACAGAGAGTTGTGCAGACAGCTGAGAAGATCATCAGTGTCTCTTTTTCCTTCATTCTGGACATTTTCCACACTCTGCTTGAAAGGCCTCCAGCATTGTGGACAACCCATCCTACCCCTCAGACATACTTTTTTTTTTGTCCCTCTGGCAGAGGTTCAGATGCATCCATACAAGAGTTTGTATAACAGCATCATCCTCCAGGCTGCTGAACTCACTGCTGCCCACTGTTACTCATCTCAACCTGGCTGCTCCCTTCGCTCTGTACCAGTACTCCCAGTTACAGCAGTACGTGTCAGACTGTGCACGTTACCCCTCCCACAACATATAGGGTAGACCTTCTATTCACATCAGGGAGCCCCAAACAACAGTTCTTAGTTGTATTCATTTTTTTTTTTCAATTGCACAAAACCACTTTGCTCACTTTTTTATTTTATTTTTTTTAAACATGCAGCAGTGTCTGGTTCTTTTGTGAACACCTACCTTAAACCATTTTAGTATTATTATATATTTTTTAAATTCCTTTTAATAACTGAGAGTACTAACAATAGTTTTTTTTTTTTAGCTATATCTATTACTAATTCATAAAGCACGGCGCCATGTTTTATGATTCTTTTGTGATATGAGGTGTCTTAATGACGTGTTTATTTTGTCCTCTCTTGCTTATTGTCTTGTATTGGTCTTGGGAGTGATGCACTTTCATTCCACGTATAACTAGCTGGAATGACAACGTGACTTTGTACTGTAATTGAGTGGAAAGTCATGAAGAATAAAAAGAAACCAATCTGTCAGAAGAGGGCGCTAATATTACGTCTGTACAAAAAAAGCAGTGGGCAACTGGAACCTTTGTTCCCTGTCTCTTTTGCAGGCCGGAGATATCTGCGGACGGACACTGCTAGTTTTCTAGGAAAACAAAACAAACCAGCTTCAACATTTAGCACTGTGCTATGTTACCTCGAGTCTTGATGACAATAGGCAACGTCATGCTTTGAAGACTGGCTTTATGTATCACTAGCTAAAAAAAAAAGCATTTACCGCACGTGGTGGCTATGCTATCAATTTCTCGGAATAGCTTTAGAGTATTTTTAGCAAGATAGCTAAGGTTAGAAGCTAATCACGCAACGGGGGACGTAGTGCTAATTGTCGTAAACCGCATTAGGGACATTATCTAATGTTAGTTAGTCAAGGTGCCATCAGGTCGCAAACTTCAACAGTGCGTGACATCAGTGTTATACCCCGGCTTTCTTGACTAGCGTTAAATACAGTAACGTTAGCAGGTACGTCTGCGGGGACGCTAGACTGTAGCTAGCTTGCATTGTGAGTCAGAAATCAGTTGGGATAATTATGCAACTTAGGAAGTGTAAGTGACAGCAATGGGCGAGGATCGCTGCCAATTAGTTTAGCTGCTCCTTTGTCAGTGAAGTCATGCATGACGTGAGTCGTGTATTGATCAAGACGGTGTTACCCACTTTATAGTGGCGAGAAGGCTAACCTACCATCAGTGAGACATTTGGGCTTGTTCACCGGCAACATGCCTGGAATGGTGGTGTTTGGTCGGCGGTGGGGGATAGCCAGCGATGATCTTGTTTTCCCCGGATCCTTTGAGCTGTTCATCCGTGTGGTTTGGTGAGTCGTTCATGTACATCAGGGATTCACTGTAGCCTTTAGCCACCTCAGGTTTATCTGTCGCCATGTGCATGCTCAGAGGAAACCTTTGGATTTGTTGACGTTTACAAGTATAATTTGTTTGGGTATTAACTTAAATATCTCAGTTAGTTATTATATTGTGGATTTTAACCTTAACATTTACGCTCGGAAGGTGAATATTTATCATATTTGGTCTTAACCTTAATCACTACTTTAGGTAGGTTTGCATGATGATATTGTATTAACCTTACTATATTAAATTACTCATACATTTGCATAAATATTTATATTGTGGAGACTAAACCTCAATATTAAAATGACTCTAATAAATTTTCATAATACTGTAGGATCATAATTTTTACCCTTTTTGGGTAAATTTGTAGTTTTATTCCTTTACTGGAGAGCACTTAGGCTAAACAGCTGTTGTTTTAAATGTGTTCTATAAATAACAATTACTGGACTTAAATAGGGAAAATAATATTGTTCACTGACTAAGTTCTTGTCTTTCTCTGCTGCAATTTTCCCCTCAGGTGGATCGGCACCATGATCCTGTTCACGTACCACAAGGGTCATTTTGATTGTAATGGGAGAGGAGTTCTTCACAGCTACCTGGTGGGTCTGCTGGTCGTGCTGGCGCTCATCATCCTGTCACTGTGTGCTATTGTCTACGTCAGTGCACAAGGTAAATGAGTTGTGGGTTATCAGGCCATGATCTTAAAATTGTGTGATGTAAAGATTACCGGACACATTTGAGGGTGGAAATCACAGAGCAGCAATAGTGTTGAAACACAGATTGTTCTTTAACATGCAATGCAGGAAATGTGCAAGACTTTTCCTGCTCTGTATTACACACCTTAAAGAAATAACTGGGGAACAATGTAACAAACTATTCACTGGGTATAACTCCTTTTAGTCATCATTTTCCTGCCATCTCTCTAATTTGAGCACAAGTCTAAACCTGCAAATGACTGAACTGGCAGGAAGAACAAATGTCTAAAGGAAGAAGGGAACATCTCTAGTAGTTTATATAGCATAGAATAATATAGTATAAAACAGTATTTTTTTTTTCTCAATAGAGTGGTGAAAAAGGGTAGTTGTGCCTTTTTGTAATATACATATTGTGCAGCATCACTGTTGTAATTTTCTTTTTGTTAGGATTATTTCGCAAGCAGTGCAAGTGCTTCTGTACCTTGTGTAAGGGTACACTGTTGAAACATGGGCAAACTGTAACGATTGAGTCACTGTGGCAGCTTTTGTAATTTTAGAATTTTTAAACTGAAGGCTGGCCTCCACAGGGGGCCTCCAGAGAGTTTCAGAGGAGTCTCAGTGAATGGAACTGATAAAATAGTAAATTGGTTATTACATTAGTTATCAGAAGGAGATCAAATGAAATAGTGTAAATATGTTATTAAGTTAAAGAGATAGTTTAGAGATACAGTAGTTTCAAAGAAAATTTTGCTGTTTTTCCCAGAGTCAGAAAGTAATAGATGTCTCTTGACAGACCTTTTTAATGTATTTTCTTTAGTCTGAAGTGTCGTCAAACAGCAATATTAGGTTATTATGGCTCAGAGTTTCTACAGGATTGAATAACAAAATCACAAACCCATAAGCATCCAGGAAATGAGCAAAAAAAAAAGAAGAAGAAAACTAAGGGGTTGCCGTTTTTTAATAGCTTCATTTTGGGGGAAGTTATATGTATATATTTTTAAATTTCTCCTATATATGATTTTTCTCTCAGGTACCATTACTAACCCTGGCCCGCGGCGCTCTATGCCTGCACTGGTGTACCTGCGCGCTCTGCTGTACATCCCTGAGCTGGTCTGGGCCTGTCTGGGAGCTGTCTGGGTGTCTGATGACAGCAAAGGCTGTGATCCCGCCACAGTGGGCGCTGTCATTGCAGCAGTGATTGCTAGGTGGGTTGTTCATGTCTAAATTTGTCAGATCTTTATCTTTTTAGAATTTTTCAAAGATGTGTTTTGATCTAGCGTCTGTCTTACTTTGTCACAACAGCTGGATCATCCTGGTGTTCACGGTGATAGGTGTAATATTTGTCTTTGATCCGCTGGGAGACCCCCGTCCTCAGCCTGCTACCATGGAGCCACTTGGAGTGCGAGACCTGCAAAGCAGCGAGGGAACCCAGTTCCTATCCACTGCTCGCTCCCTGGCCGTTAAAGTCTGGGAGAGCAGGCTGCGACTCCTGTGCTGCTGTCTGCCGCAGGATGAAAGCCACCGGGCAGCATTCTCCAGCATCGCACAGCTCTTTAGCAGCTTCTTCTCTGTAAGGGACACCTTCTCTCCCCTTCTGGAGCTTCCTTAATGTCTAGCAAGCACTGCTTGTACAAATATGATTTAAATATGATCAGATTACAACAAGTAAAAAAAGAATGTATATAAAATTGAAATAATCTGGAATATAAAATAATCTTTTACTAGTGTTAAAGTCATGCAGAACACATGGTGAGATCCTCTCTGGTATGATGAAACTGTTGCAGGACACAGACCTGGTTCCCAGTGACATAGCAGCCGGTTTGGCTCTGCTGCACCAGGAACAGGACAAGATGGAGAAAAGCAGAGATCCAGAAGTTATCATCACTCACAGCCCTTCCTCTCCAATCGTAAGTCATCAGTCACGTCTGTAGGGTAGAGTTCAGAGTAGATCTGCCAGGAAGTCTGTAAAATAGATTCCTGATTTTACAAATGTTCTCTTCTTAGTCATATGCTTTTCTGTTTAAAGGGAGAAGATTTGGAGGCAGAGTTGGAGAAAGCTGCCCACTGTATGCAGTTTGCTGCAGCAGCTTACGGCTGGCCGCTGTACATTTACTCCAACCCCTGTACTGGACTCTGCAAACTCAGTGGAGACTGGTAAGATGTTGTCTTTGTTTGTGTGAGTCAGGGGAACCTACCAGAAAAGTCACAGATATGCCAAGTTAGACTGACAGCTGTTTTATAGAAGTGGAAACAGGCGGCTCCAAAAGGCATCAATATTCAACTTATATTCAAAATTTGTCAGAGAACAATAAGAGTTTTGTTTCATTTGTTCATATTTACTTGAAATGAAGCAAATTCCTGTAATTAATTCTTAAATGTTAAATATTTATACAGTTTAACAACTTTGTTTGCTTGTTTTGCATCTCAGATATCTTTTCAGAGCCACAGAATTGCTGCATCATTGACAGTATTTCTGTCTGTGGTCAGTGTCACACAGCCAGACATGGAAGTCAGAGGTTGTTTCATGTTGGTTTTGTTTTAGCTTAGTTCGGCCCCACTGAGTTCACAAACCCAAGTCCAAATCTGTGTGTCTGTGTGTCAGCTGTAGGAGTCGTGCAGCTGAGTATGAGATCGTCGGAGGAGACCACCTCGGCTGCCATTTCTCCTCCATCCTCCAGAGCACCGGTTTGCAGTACAGAGACTTCATCTTCGTCAGCTTCCACAACCAGGTAGGAGTTTCACCAGTTCTTCTTGCAGAGAATTCTTCTCCTCTGTGTTCACAGTTTACCTGACATTTATCTTCAAGAGGTCGCCACTGCCAGCCTCACTGTTTATATTAAGTTGGTGGTCTACTCTGTGTTGCAGATCTATGAGATCCCCTTCTTTGTGGCTCTGGATCACAAGAGGGAGGCTGTTCTGGTGGCTGTCAGGGGAACACTTTCACTGAAGGTGAGTTGGGACCTCAAATATTCACTTTATGGGAGAAAAATAGGGAGCAGACAATTAATAACTGCTTAACTTGGTGGCTTATATATGTCTTTCATTTCCTTTTGTTTTGCTATATTCCCTGTCTGACACATAGGGTGCGTCCTAATATCCATACTACTATATAGAATGTAGAAAAGATGTAGAATGTGCCAATATAGTACGTCAAATGCAGTATGCACAAAATACCATCCGGCTGCATTTTCCAGTATGCAAGCCAGCGTGCTTTTTTTTGCCATTCCGACCCACAATCCCCTGCAGCAAAAGATAGGTCACATATGTCACGGTGTCTTGCACAGCGATAAACAAGCGCACAGACGGATCACAATTCATTTTATATTACAGACTGCGACAAATAAACGAGCAAGACAGTCAAAACTCAAGAGGCAGTGTTATGATTATGTAGTGTGTCCAATTTCGATGTGTGCTGCATGAAACAGTACACACTTTGTGGAGCAGCTGCAGTATGCGCTGAAAGTCAAAAGAAAAAAATATGTGATTTGGATCGCAAATCGCATACTTTGGCGTTGTTGAGAAACAATAGAGGAATTTTTGGCTGAACGCTCTACTGTGAAGCTACCACTAATGGATTCTCAGTTTTACTATCCAGAGTCAGGCTGTGCAGCTTCTAAATTTTCTCAGCCATGTTAGCTGGCTTCTCCTCTGGCATCGCCCCCCCGTAGCTGTAGTTGCTGCAGCAGTAGATGGAGGCATGCATTTTTAATGTTGGTTTGTAGTCTGCTGTCAAAACCAACATAAAAATGTGTTGATTTCTGTCAAACAAGTTAACATTAACTCATTGCTTTTACCGTGCCGATCACTGTCATGTGTAGTCACCCTCCAGATGTCCATTCTGAGCAGGAAAAACACTGCAGTTGATGTGAGTGTTTGCCTCTTTTTACATCTGTTCATTTGCCAAAAATAATACTGGGTCATCACAGAAGTCTGAAATATACTTGGATCAAGTTTGACCCTAAGCCCACAAACTAGGTTGCCTACATGTGTGAACTTGAAAAAAGGGGATGTGATTATTTTCTCTCAGTGTTGCCCCCTTTTTCGTACAACTGCTATGCTTGTGAATGCTTTCTGTCGAATCCTGCTGTTTCCTCTGAATGTTCAGAATCACTTCTCTGTTTGCGTGGATGACTGATGGAAGAGTAGCTAAAATAGATTGATGATTATAGCCCCACATGTGCTCATTTGACCTGAACAAAGCAGGAAGTGAGAGTGCGGTGATGTGAAGGCGTGAGTGTGAGTTATCGTTGTGTGTCTAAAGATATGAGCAACAAAGGCGAATGATGGCAAAAGCAACAAAGCAACAATCGTTGTGATTTGGTGGCAAAATAGTTGAACCGCTCTGAATTATGTTTGTCCACAAGTTTGAATTATTTGTACCGACTTTCACGCTGAACTCAGGATTTCAATCAACACCAAACGCATCCTTCAAGTAGCCTTTAACTTTGTCTTTAACCTTTCACCTGTGACATGGAGTTGAAGTAGTGATTAAGCAACCTCCCAGTTTGTTGTTTGTCTCACTGTGAGTGTGTCCTGCAGGACGCCCTGACAGACCTGTCAGCTGAATGTGAGAACCTGCCCATAGATGGAGTGTCTGGAGCCTGCTACGCTCACAAGGTGAATTTCCACCTAAACACAACACTGGCAGCCTGTGTTTGTAGAGGTTTCCACCAGACTCAGGTGTGTGTTTCCTAAAAGATAAGCTTGTGTCTTTTGCAGGGCATCTGTCAGGCAGCGACTTACATCTACAAGAAGCTGGTCAATGATGGCATCCTTAACCAGGCGTTCTCCATCGCACCGGTAAGAAGTGAAACCGGGCTCAGAAGCTCCATTTCATTCGCTGTATTTTATTTCAGTTACATCCCAGATGGCAAATCCTATTTACAATAAATGAGATTTTATCTCTGGGAGAGATTTACAGGGATGTACTGTTGTGGCAAGAAAAAACTATGAAGCTGGTTAGCATTTATTCTCTGATATAAAAACAACAACTTTGCTTTCTGCGTAGCATTCTTCCATCAGCCTGCTACAGTTGTGTGTTTTGTTTTTTTTCCCATTTATTTATTTATTGTTGTATAATGGTACACTTACAATTAAAATAAATGGATCCGCACAATACAACAACCCTTCAACAACCCAACCTTTCTAGTTTAAGATGAAACATGACATTCCTCAACCACCTGGCATGGGAAGGGGGTTTAGAATTCCACCAGTTGAAAAGGATGAGATGGCGAGCTAACAGGCGACAAAAGGCGATGGCATTTAAAACATTTCCTGGCCGACTAGCATTCTCTGGTTTTACACTAAAAATTGCTGTCAGAGAGTCTGGCTCGACCTGTACGCTATAGGCTTCATTCAGAGATCTGAAAACACAGCTCCAAAATGCATGTAAACAGGGGCATGACCAACACATGTGAGTTACTGTAGCCGAGGCTATTTTACGTTTATCGCAGGTTGGGTCCAAATGTGGGTAAATTTTGGCTAGTTTAGCTTTAGTATAGTGAATATGATGCAGAATCTTAAATTGTATGAGCCCAGGTCTGGTGCAAGGAGATGAGGAATGTGTGTCTTTAAGAATGTCATCCCAGGTTCTGTCTGAAAAAGTGGCGCCAAGGTCCTGTTCCCACTGCGTCCTGAGGACACCCACTACCTGGGGGTTTAACTCCTCAGTGGTTTCATAAATCTGAGAAAGGATTCCCGTTGTATCAGCGTCAAGAGACAACAATGTCTCAACTGGACCATCTGGGGGCTTGTTGGAAAAGGAGTTATATTGTTTTTTGAAAAAATCCCTCAGCTGCAAATATCGAAAAAAGTGAGCATGAGGCAACTTGTATTTAGTAACCAGCTGTTCAAAAGATGCAAATATTCCGTCCATAAAAAGATCTTGAATGAAATGTATCCCATTTCCATGCCAGGCACGGAAGGCCTTGTCAATTACAGCTGGCCTGAAGAAATTGTTAGCTATAATAGGTGCCATTAAATGCTTCCTGAATTGTAGCCAGATTTTAAGTTTATTGGATGACACAGTATTTTTGATGGGGCTGCCTGCGTACAGTTATGTTTTGAAGCATTTATCTACAAGAGGAATTGGTCATTAATAATGCAATTATCTCTCTATTACAATGTGGAGCAGTGCACCTATTTGAAACCATCCAGACTTGTCACTCCTGGCTGACTTCTCTTACCTAAAGGTGTTACATTGCAGAGGTGACAGTGTGTGTGTGTGTGTGTGTGTGTGTGTGTGTGTGTTTTCTCATCTTCCTGTGTTTGTAGGAGTATAAGCTGGTCATCACTGGTCACAGTCTGGGCGCTGGCGCAGCTTCAGTGCTGGCTATCCTCTTACGCAGTTCCTTCCCCACCCTGCAGTGCTATGCTTTCTCTCCACCAGGGGGACTCCTGAGGTAAGGCATAGAGTCAGAAGGCTGGGACCGTTCACACTCTGTGGACTTTAAACATGTTTGGCAGCTCTCAGCAGCTGGCAGTGGACAGACCTGAGCTGGTTCCCTGACTTTGAAGTAGGAGAGTACTTGCAAAGGACAAGTACTGCTGTGCTACTCAGCCAGTTTGTGCTGTTAAAATAAACATTCCTACTGAAAAAAGGTTAGACGTATAATGACAACATTAAAAATGTGCATCGCTCTGGTGGTCTGGGGTTAGGGAACCACGCAGTGTTCCTGGTTGTTGTTGACTTTTTGTCTGACTTTCTACAAAAGTCATAAAATTCCCCCAATATAATGAATATAAAGTAAATCTAAATAAAAATTTTGAAAAATGGTGAAAGAGAACCACAAGAGTCTGCATGCATGATACTGGATTTTTGCCAACACACCTATATATCCCAATTTATCAACACATTTTCACTAATTGTAATTTTTTCCATGTGACTGCAGAGAACATCAAGTCTTTCCTGTAGCAGAATGAACATATTAGTGAACATATTATTATGTCTACTCTCATGCTGACTGACTGGTCCATCCATCCCTCTATTAGCTATACCTGCTTCATCCTGCATAGGGTTGACAGGGGCTGGAGTCCGTCCCAGCTCACTTAGGGGGAGAGGTGGGATACACACTGGACAGGTCAACAGTCTGTCAGAGCATGAACACAGAGACAACAGACATCTATGCCTGCTCACACCTACGACCAATTTAGAATCATCGGCAAACCTACCATGCGTGTCTTTGGACTGTGGGAGGAAGCTGCAGCACTCAGAGAAAACCCACACAGGCACACGGAAAATATTTAAAGTGAACACAGAAAGGCCAGCAGGTTCACACCCAGAGCCTTGTTGCACCACTGACAGGTGCAGACATGAAATACAAAGCACAGCAGAAAACCCCTTGAGCTTACATGTAAAACATGCCATGTAACAGTTGAAAACAAAACTGTAAATGTTAAGCCTGACAGGTGTTATCTACCAGTCAGTGTTCATTTTGAGCTGATGGCAAGACTTTGTTTTAAAGCCTTTATCAGCTCATACCGGTGATGATGCCAGCATCACTGTGCATCCCTTCTTCAGAGTATTAAGAGTTAAATTCTAAATACACTGTGTCATTCACATCCAAATGTATGAACTCTTCTTTGAATTTACTGTATTTTCTGTTCTGTGTTTTCTGTATGTGCAGTAAAGCTTTAGCTGATTACTCCAAGGACTTTGTGATCTCAGTGGTGCTGGGAAAGGATCTGGTTCCCAGGTAAGACAGAAAGCTCCTTCACAGTCTATACTTCTTAGTGATTAGAATATTCAGCTTAATGAGTTCGTTATTGGTAAATAGTGTATGTTGATGCTAGTTAGTTTCTTGATCATTAAAGGTAAATGTGCTTGTGTGTTAGCAGCACTGCTGAGTCTTGTCTTCAAAAGGCCAGTATGGATGTGCTGTGGTGAACAGACTATTATAGACTACTGCATGATGGAGACTATATTTGGCTCTGCCCTGTTATTACAGGCACAGAGAAGGAGAATAGGAGCGTAACTTATACGCTCCTTTTTCTCTCCCTTTTTCTGTTTTTTTTTTTTTGCAATTTTCTCCCCCTTTGAATAAATCTACTTTTGTTCTTTTTGTACAGACTGAGCATTCCCAACATGGAGGATCTCAAGAGGAGGATACTTAAAATAGTTTCTAACTGCAATAAGCCCAAAGTAAGAACCAATAAAAGCCCTGAAATGGTATCTGTAGCCTTACACCTTGACACCATCTGGCAATACCTTAAATTGCTGTCAGTGATCTTAGAAATGTTCCTGTCTGTGTTGCAGTACCGCATCCTGCTGCAGGGATGTTGGTACGAGCTGTTTGGAGGAGACCCAGATGATTTCCCCACCGAGATGGACAACAGGAGGGAGGAGGAGCTTAGCCAGCCGCTGCTGGGGGAGGAGTCACTGATGATTCGCCACTCATCATCCTATCAGAGCCTGGCCTCAGATGACTCACCAGCCCACACAGCTGCAAACTTACCGCTCTTCCTGCCTGGACGCATTCTGCATATCACAGAAGACGGGCCTTCACGGAGGTCAGTCTACAAATGTTTGATCTCTGAGTTCACTTCGCAGCAGATTGACTGTATATAGAAAAAAGTGTTCATGTGCGCCCCCTAGTGGTACATACAAGTAGGACAAGGCAAATTATTTAATATTTCCTATCTGCGACTTGTATAACTGCGTCTCTTAGGGACGGATGAAAAAAATCAGTTCACACAGTGATCTCGATTCTTGTCTTCTTCAAATCTGAATTGATTGAGAAGCACCATAAGCTGGTTTTTGTAGTAACATATCGAACATCAGTGTCGCACCTGTTCACTGGCCGTGTTTCCATAATGAATTTTATGCACATTTTGAAGTAATTTCACTAACTTTTCACACTTGTTTGAGATGCTTTTTGACTTTTTGAAAGGGGGTAATGCACATAATGGGAAATGAAAACACCTGTTTCAGAATAAGCTCTGACATTTAGCTCACGTTACTGATCAGCTGTTTCCACATTTTGCGTCGTCTTCGTCTCCAGACAGCGTTAAACACGACCAGCTGACATGAAAGAATAATTACAACTCTTCCAGTTGAAAACAATTCCTGAGGAAGTTTTGTCTGTCAAAGTTTCTTCCTTTTCTTTGAGGTACTTAAGCAGTCGGCTAACAAGTAGCCCAGTTTATTCACTGTAAAACAGTTATTGGAAACAAGCGCAATGGAGTTTCTTTTCTTTTTTTGCTCAACAGTTGCATGTAAACGCAGCTAATGTCCAGCTCTCATTCTGGAGTTATCTTGTGAGGGATTTGCACGTGTTTGGCCACATTTTGGATTTATTGACGTAGTGATTGGCTTTGCAAGACTGAAGTGAAGTACGTCATGAACATTTTATACTCCATCATCAACAGTAATGTTAACAGAGCAGAGCACCAAACTAACACCAACAGTTGAGACCGACTAACACGCTGCAGCCCTGCCGTGTTAAATTCACCCACATCTTCCCCTCAGCCTTTACTTGTGCAAACACATATCAATGTCCCCGTTTTTTTTGTACACTGAAAAGTTACCCATTGATGCCTAGTAAATGACTCTAACATTTAATCATTTTCATACAGGAACTAAACTAAACAAGATACTTCCAGTTTATGCAGTTTATTTAACTTGCATAAAAAACTTTGATAAAGTACCTTGATTACAGTATAATGTATCACTTCTTCTTTTAATACATTATCAATGCAATTCCCAAAATACCAATAGCTTCATCAGAATTTTAAACTCTACAGATTCCCTCAGCCAGTTCATGAACTGTTGATATCATGGGCAACGTATGGTGATGGTGTTGTATCGTGAGTCGCTCTGTGATCTCCACCTCGAACTCTGACACGCCTCTCTCTTGTCTCTGTTAGTCAACGATCTTCATGAAAACCAGTTAGCTTAACTGACATTTAGGGCTGAACGACATGAAAAAACAATCACGCTGCAGTTATTTTCACAGATAATCTGGTTGCAACATGAGTCATGACTTGAGTGAGAATGTTTCCCACTTCTTCTCCACTGAAGCAAATTTTAAAGAGATGATGTGATTTTTTTTTTTTGGGTTCATTCCCAACCAGGCGGTTTCCCTTTTTTTTTGGGGGTTTTGTTTTTTGGCTTGGTTCTTTTCGTTGTTCTCCAGTGTTTTTTTTTTATTGTGATGTTGTGACACATTTTGCCTTTATCGCAAAACTGCAGCTCCTGTGATTTGGTCATTGTACTAAAGCCATGTGGTGATTTTCATAATATTCCAGCCCTACTGTCAGTTATGTGTCATTCATAACTCAGCGGGAAAAAGTCAGCAGACAGGAGTGGTTTGGTGTTGCCATTGTCTGTCGAGAACTGACAAAGAAAAAAAGAAATGAATCAAATCACAACACCAAGAATTGGAATGGATCAAATTTGGAGATTGACAAGGATTCTTACTCTTCTGCTAAACTCAGGCAGAAAAAATGTTTCTAATGTTTTATTGATACTCTTAAAAAAAACAAACAAAACAAAAAACTTTTAAACTCTAGTTTTGAAAGTTACTATAGAGATAAAGGCCATTATTATCATAAAACAGTGCAGTAAAAGGCAGTTCTTATGCTCGCAGTACTTACACATCAGCTGACATTTCAAATGACGTTTCTCTCTGCTCAGCTGATGCATTCGCTCCCTCTGGTACTGACGCTGGCACATGTTCAGGTCTCAGGTCTTCACCTTTCAACACTAAAACTTCTTCAACGCTTTCAAGTTCTACAAACTGCACTTAATACAATTTACTCCACATGATTTTATTTCAACTGCTGTCCATGCTGACAGTTCAGTTGATAATGTCTTTTAGTCGATACACTTAAAATGTCCTCATTTCTTTTAGGCTTCAGTCGCTACAGTCGTTCTCAAATGTATTCATACCCTTCCATTAAAGAAAAGGCAAAATTCACAATAGTCACTCAAATAACTAGAAACTGAAAAAAGTAATAGTAAACAAAAATTTGCTAAATTATAATTTAGTGAAATAAGACATTGCTTTTGAATTGGGGTTGAAAAGAATAATTTAAAAAAACAAAATAACCCAAAACTATCCTGGACAAATTAGAGCGCTTTGCTGATGAACAGTGTGCCAAAATACCTGTCAACAGGTGCAGAAGTCTGATTAAGAGTTACAGAAAACACTTGGTTGCAGTGATTGGCTCAAAGAGTTGTTCAATTAAATATTAGTTTATGGGTCCCATCATGCTTGTTTGCTTTTTTTCCCTGTTGAACCACAATTCATAAGCAATGTCATGATTTTCACTCAATTTTTATTTATTATTACTTTTGTCAATTTCAACTTATTTCAGTGACAGCTGTTTTTTGTCCCTTCTTTTATGGGAGGTTATGAATACATTTGGAGACAACAGTTAAATTTATCACTGACACTTGGACTGGCATTTTAACTGCTTTCAGTACTTCAACTTCAAGAATCATTAAAGTTCAAGCACTAAATGAATGATGACATTGCCCTTTTACTTTCACATTTGTTATACATAAACTGAAACTTCCTTTTTCAGTTTTTCAGGTGTTTCAGCAGAAAACTGCTGCTTCAAGTTCCCACAGAAAATGCCTCTCCAGATAATTTTAGATGCTGATAGTCACATGAACAATTCTACTGCTACGACATCTGCATCAGTTCCTGGAAGAAAAAAATTATTTGAAAAAAGACTTTCATTTAATTTCTCGTTTCTGTCTTTTCTCCCGCAGATCCTGTTTCTCTCAGGTCCGTTACCGTGCAGACTGGTCCAACGAAATGGCGTTCAGGAGTATTTTGATCAGCCCCAGGATGCTGGCCGATCACTTGCCCGACGCTGTGCTCCGAGCGCTCAACAGTCTCACCAGCGACAGGCCCTTTTCCCTCTGCCCTTCGTCTTTGAACAACAGCCAGCACAATACTATCTGAAATGTACTATAAAGACTGACTCCTTACGTCTGTGCTCCCAGACTCCGCAGTATCTTAAACCAACTTTTGTTCTTGTCTCTACATCTGATCCAGGACAGCTTCAAGTACTTCACTTGATCTGTCATCCCAACCTTTCCTCACATAAATATATACCTTTCTCAAACATTTGCATTGATTGTAATGGTAATGGCAGACATCAAACCGTAGAGATTTGCCTGATGTGGTCTCTATGGATGAATGTGATTTGTAAAGAGAAACACTTTGGAGCTCATTCGTTCAATTGCACTTTTAATTATTTAATTCAAATAATTTGATTTGTTTCGGCTTCATGAGTTACTCCATGAGCAACCTTATGCCATGATCTTTGAATGTGCGTTGTGTACAATATTTTGACAGTGCTCCAGTTTTGTTATAATGTCAGTGTTCTACAGTTTATGTTGGTGTGATTGGTGTGTGGCTGGTAGAGGCTGCCCTCGTGGTCACCGCAGCTCTCCACTCTTGTCTTCCTTGTGTTTGAGGGCGACTGAGGAGCAGTCTGACTACGACGTGAACATACAGCTTTGGAATTATTTATTCGACCACTGTGAACACTTGTTTGCTGCCTCTTCCTTTGCATTCTTGGTGAAGAAGTACTGCGTTCTCTTCTTTACGTTTTGCTGATTCCAAGCCTGTGTCGGTGTTTGTTCAACACTAAGAAGGTTCTCATTATCTCACAATTTTCTTTATTAAGGCATTGTTGAATGGTAATTTAGTTTGGATTGTCTCTCGACTTCACATATACAGCGTATGAACAAAATAATCCAAAAAAGTTTTGGGCTATGTACCCTGAATTTTGACATTTTTATTTTCAATACAGCATTTATTGCATGTATTGAATCCTTGTAAAAACTTTTTTCATGTGTTTTTTAAAAGATGCTGTTGTTATTTAACCACTATGATAAAATTAAAACAAAATGATCAGTGTTGGGGGCCTTTTATGAAGAGAAAGAAAACAACAGGTGGTTTAATAATTGTTTCTAAAGCTGTATAAGGGTAACCTGTACCTCAAACCGTGGTCTGAATTTACATATTCATTGTATCGTAACTGTGGTTAGCCTGTCTTGTGTTTAATGTCTTGAGACATCAGGGTGAACTGTGCCTATGCATTACAGAAAAACAAGCAGACAAAAAGTACTTTTACAGAAGAGGCAGTGATGAGTGCAGTGTGTTTACAGTAAGTTCTGCAGCGTGAACAGTGCATGGTGTTTGCCATAAACATGATAGATGTGGGAGGTAGAGAGATTGTACATTTTTTTGTGGGAACCTGTTTACTTGCCATGAATATTACATTGTTTTTCAGGTGATCTATAATATCAAGGTTTGAATCAGCTTATGCCTGCATAACTATTTCACATCCTGATACAGTGCATTGGACTCCTTGATGCAAATAAAAGCGTTTGTGAAGCACACCCTTTACACTTCTTTTTTTTTTTATTATTCACAGCTGCACACATCTGTGAGCAACAACCTGTTGATCTAAAGGCCACTGAGCAGGATTTTGAGTACAATTTTTAGAGGTTAAAAAATAGGGTCAATCTATGAAATGAAGCCATACATGTCTGTGTGTATGTGGGGTGTAATTATGAAATGTTTCTAATGAATAGATCAGTAAGGATTAGTTTCAGTTTTTACTCTGTCCCCTCCAGCCCTTTTTTAGCATGTGACGTCAGCGCGACGTCCCGTCACCAACACACGGCCTCTTCAAGTGATCCTCGTAAGCTCCTGTTTCACAACTCAGACACAGCAAATTACAGTGTGGGTTGTCTGTACAACCCCAAACAACATAATTCTACTCTCGAAAGAATAGAAACAGCAGACCCCATAACTACTTTGTTTGTGCTGCAGCGTTAGAATTACAGGTAGGGAATATGTAGGAAACCAAGGGGGTGAATTAAAGCTGCACATACAATGAGCAGAAACCGACATATTAGTTAATGCCTGAAGGTAAAGCTGCAACTATATTGCTTTTGTTTTTTGTAAACCAGTTGTTGACACGGTTTTTACCTCCGCCCCACAAACGTCACCTAGCTGTTACTATATATGGGGGACAGTTGTAATCAAATTATTTTTTAGCTTTAAAGGTGTGAGCTGTATTTGTTGCCACTCGCTGTCGTCTTTTAAAGTTTTGCTCTTTCTGTGCAGTTTAGATTATCACTGAGGTACAATCCGTTTATTCAGTGTTTACCACTTTGTCGAGTCGCCAAGCTGCGTTCATTCCCATCTTTCCGACAGCACCTGAACGCAGCAGCAGGAGCTCATCTGTTGGATAGGGAAACTAATCAGGAGCCAAGTAAAGTCTTTTCAGTATTGCTAGCTACGAGGCTAGCGAGGTTTTAAAGTCAACCGTCCACACGACAAAGGAGTACGGACTTTGTTTAGGAAGTACAGCGTCTCCTCTGTACCGGAAACAACATTCGAGCAATGTTTTAGGAACATTATTTTGTTGTTGCGCTGAAAGTACAAGGCGGACAGCCGCTGGCCAGCTGAAGCTTGCGGCTAGCTCATTAGCTGGGAAAGAAGTGCAAGTGGAGGCAAGAAAATGGAGCTGGACGACGTAGTCCTGTATCAGGACGACTCGGGCAACTCTACCATGATGTCCGAGCGGGTCTCAGGTCTGGCCAGCTCCATATACCGAGAGTTCGAGCGGCTCATCGAAAAATACGACGAGGACGTAGTGAAGGAGCTGATGCCGCTGGTCGTCGCCGTGCTGGAGAACTTGGACTCGGTGTTCGCTGTCAACCAGGAGCACGAAGTGGAGCTGGAGCTGCTGAAGGAGGACAACGAGCAGCTCGTTACCCAGTACGAGCGAGAGAAGGCGCTGAGAAAACACGCAGAAGAGGTGGGTTTCTCTATATCACTGCCAAACTAATTTATAACCCGGATTATAGAGTAAAGCCTCGTATTATGTACTTTAGTATGAAAAGATTAAACGCCGAACTACGCTGGAAAATCTGGCAATTCACTGTTGCTGTGCACATCAAGTACAAATAAGTCTCACTTGTTATGATTTCACATATTATATGACATATAAAACACATTTCTTTAATTCGGCATACTTACAGGCAACCATAACGTACATTTCTGAAGATTAAATCCACTTTTAAACTTGTTATTGAGATTTCCCACTTCCCGCTGACGGGCGTTTTGGCGGAAAATGGACGTAATAGCAGTTAAATTTTCTCTCCAACAAGGAATTTAGCTCTAAATGTACAAATTTACAAAATGACGAATTTAAGAGAAAATGTTATCAACACCGTTTATACACCGGGGGCATCTCTGGTAGTTAATTTAGAGGGACATACTGTACTTTAGCTGCAAGTTTCTGTCACCATGGACGCTGCTGTTGGGAGTTGCAGAGGAACGCTGGGTTAATGCACCTCTCTAGTTTGTAATACAAGCCTCAGATATATGCAAACCCGCCAGGAATTTGTTTGTCAGGTGGCTGCTGAATCTCAGTGATCACATTCAGCTTCATGACTAATGACTGTCTCACTGCCCCTGCATTTGATTCCACCCAAATGACACCCCTGTTGCCATGCTCCTCATCGCCACAGAGAGGTTTGTGTTGACAACAGTGACACATTTGCACTTGCTGCTGTACTCCTGCACACAGCGTTTGGGAGGAAAGCTTAGTTTTAGTGGTACTCCTGTATTTCTTTTACTGTTCTGTTGAGAACTCGGGAAGATGCTGTATGAGAAGTTACAGTCAGCATTTCAACGTCAGTCACTGTGCTGGAGTCGCCTTGAAGCAACAGAGAAAGTGATCTGCGCTGTATTTTCTTCTCCTCAGCTGATTTATCACTGTCTTCTTATTTCATTGGAGGGAGTGTAAACTTCCAGCTTTGTAATATGTTATAAATGCTTCATGATAGAGCCAGTGCTTTGTGGCTTCCATGTGTTATTCCAGATCTTTAAAGCTGTTTAAATTTGGTGCCACCTGTTGCATCATCGGTTCGAATGCTGAGTTTGACTTTAGTGTTTGATTAGTTCAGACTCTTACTTTGCTCCTGCAGACGTGCATGTTCTCTTTTTTCCTTCCACTATAGCTGTTGTTTGATGTGACTGAGTGTGTAATGAGTTCCCTTCCCACCAAAGGTTGAAGTCACCAGGTGACTGTTATTACAGCTCTGTAGCATTATGATGTTGACATGAAGGAAATCTGCCACATACAATAACATTGTTCATTATTGTGATGACGGTATGACTAAATATTGAAGTGTATTACCTACTCAGTTCCTGTGTCTCTATGCTGTATTAGGTACCCAAAACACTGAATAGCCCACTGAAGAATAAAATGAAATGAATGATTTCAAATAAAAAAAAACATGCACACAAATATCCAACCAATTAAACAAACCATTAATAAATCCATCCATCCATTATCTATACACCGCTTAATCGTCACAAGGGTCATGGGGGGCTGGAGCAGCTGACTTAGGGTGAAGGCAGGGGACACCCTGGACAGGTCGCCAGTCTATGACAGGGCTACACTTAGAGACAGACAACTAAGCACACTCACATTCACACCTACGGACAATTTAGAATCGCCAGTTATCCTCAGCATGTTTTTGGATCTTGTGGGAGGAAGCTGGAGAAGTATCCATGCTGCACAGGGAAAACATGCGAACTCCACACAGAAAGATCCTGGGATCCTGGGCGTCCTCACCGGGACGTGAACCGGCGACCTTCTTGCTGCGAGGCAACAATGCCTACACCGAGCCACCTTGCAGCCCACCATTAATAAATATTCATTATAATATAATAGTCATTATAACTATAAGAAATTAAAATTTAATTTATCTTATTTTCTTTAAAATATCTTCTTCTAATCTCCACAAATGTATCCCTTGGCCTTTTTTCTTGCTTTTCTCTCTTTTCTCAGCCATCATGCTAGCTAGCTCTGCAGTCACCACTAAATTGACACCAGTTATTCTGAGGGTAGCTGGCGACTAGCTGAGGCTTGGTCTTGTGGGCCAGTTGTTGTGAATGCATGGCCCATATCCTGTATCAAGAACTCTCTCCGAATGATCAAATATTGGCTTGCTGAGTGTGAATACATAGCACGTGTTTATTGCAACGTTCATATCACAATGACAACAAAAATTCGATTTATCAGTCAGCACTCGCCCACTAAACATGTTATCATGACACTGAGGTGATACTGAGATTGGTTTCAGAAAGAAAGACTAAGAATATCAGATTTTTGTTTAATGTCATAGAGCAGAACAATTGAGAACTAAAATGTCTACAGTGCATGTAGGAATCCTGCAATCTATTAGTAAATCTGTTGGTGAAAAAAATGGATTATTAACTGTAAAAAAAACAAAACATGAGCCAGGATATTGTATGAAATTAAATTAAAGTGGTCTGTCCTTTTTAATGATTGAACCAGGTATAACAATGGTGTTTTTCAGACTGTATTGTTAAACTACAAGTATACAGTGTTAAGGTCTTTTCATGCTTTCCAACTTTATTGGTCTCGTTGGGTCCGTTGAGGTAAATCTCGTCATCTGTTGTCGGCTGTTGGACTTTGGAGGTGCTTTGATTTGTTCATGCTTTCCATTGGCAATTAAAGTTGGAAATTCTCCAGAAATGCTGTGTCTGCCCGCTGTGCTTGGGACAAGAAGGTAACAAACTCTGGCTGCAGGCTTTGGCCAGTGTTGTACCTGAGACTTCCATGAGAACGCCAGGATCCGCTAGAGTCTGCATGATATCAATTTCATCATCTCCCCAAATCTGTGAAAGTCTGCAAGCGGTCCAGAATTTTTGTCTGCGCAGCAACTTGACTGCAAGGGCAGTGGTGTGCATGTTTGGAATTAGTGTGAATGCTCGGACAATGTGGACGTCACCCTACTGCATGTGCAAGGAACAGAGTCCGACAAGTGCACTAAAAACGACTAGACAGTGGTACAAGTTACTGTCCGCTTGGCACACCTCAGGGATAATCACTGACATGGTGCCACAGCCTCATGTAGCGAGCTGACAAATCCTGTAAAAAGGGAATAGTTGCATTGTTTCAAAAACATCCATATGCATTGTGACCCATATACTTTACAGTATATGTATTGTGCATCTGCTGTCTTCATTCACAGTCCGCATCATTCAGCACACAGGGAGACTGAAACCACACATTTGCCTTTTAAATATCCGATCAGTCGCGTACAAAAGTGCATTGAAAGAATACAGGTTTACACTGATCAGAATCATTTAATCAATTACATATATTGTATTCAGGTAATTCTATTTTTACCTTTTAAAAAACATCCTTGCAATGGTAATCCTGTTTGTGATTTAGACGTTGATTGACTCAAGAACATGTACTGTGCAACACTTAACTGTTAGCATTTGACATTAAGGTAAAGGTCCATTATGATATAAAAATATAATGTGGCTTCTCAGCTTGATAAATTGTTATAAACACTAGTTTTGGGTGTAGCACTGTGGATGACTGTTGCTGTACTACTGTATTGTGTCTGGTCAGTCACTGCTTAGTCACTGCCCCAGGCACCACTTGGTCACAGCTTGTCAAAGATAAAATTTATAAAACAAGTAGCGCACAATGTTGCATGCATCATGTTATTATGCCTTGTTGACGCAGGGAGACCTTGAATGCAGGTTTTGTTCTTTTCAGCTTATGATCACTTGAAGCTAAGAAGTACTTCCAAGACACAAATTAAATCTAAAATCTAAATGTAAGCCATTATAGAGAAAATGAAAACAACATTGAAAGTTAACTAAAACTAAACACACTTTACGACCTGCAATTTCAGATTAAATACTTAGAAAAGGGTCCGTTGTCTTGGGTGTAGCAATGCTCTGTGTCCTCAGTAGCATGATGTGTACACTATGATCCTGTATGTTTTACATGGATTTTTAATATAGTTGTGCTTGTGTGTTTTTGAAGCTCAAACAAACAGCATTCCTCTTCTTAATCCTTCCTACTCCTCATATTTAGGCATGAGCAGTTCACTCACATCTTCAACAACACAGCAGGGGTTTCTTAATCTGGCTGGTTTTTCCAGCCTCTACACTAATAATCACAGCCAAATTAGTCATTTCTAACATTGTTAAGACTGGAAAAGGGATTAAAATATTACAGGTGAAAACCTACTGCAACATAAATGTTTAAAGGTAACAAAAAGTTCTTAATTTATTTGAGACTCGTTTAGGAGAACACAGGACTGTGCGCACATGTACAGTTTTGCCATTCCTAAGTATTTTCCTTGCTGTTGACATTTACCTTGTCGCTTGAATGTTGAATGGCAAGCACAACAGGTCACAGAGCAGCATGTTCATAATTTATGTCATGTTGTAACACGTTACTACAGCTTTTGATAGACCTGTGTACATGGGATTTTCCATGTGTGTGGCTCCTGTTATTCTTGTTTTGTCTGACCTCCGTGTGAAATCCCTCCACTCTGATAAAAGGAGCTCATCACTCAGCGAGGCAGCCGTTTAACTATCGTGCTGGTGTGATCAGTCGTGTTGTTAAGCTGAGATCATGTCACAGGTCTTGCCCTTTAACAACACCTTTGTAAGGGAGGTTAGCTTCTGTACTTGACAAACACAATTCAGGATGTCACAGTTATGGCTTTTGACCTTGTGCAGCCTACGCGTTTTTCATTTGTTCCATTTCTGGCTTTGTCTTTCTAACTGTTACTCCCTGCTGCCAGCTGTTTTAAACTCCTATCAAAAGTCTTGGTCCTGATCAGTTCACAGGGACTGCTTTGAAGTTATTAAAGCTGGGAACACCTTTACTTTGAAATGCTACCACAGTCACCAGAAAAATTGGATTTATGAAGATGATATTTGGTACAAAGTTACACCCAGCAGTAGCTG